AATCCCTGGTACAAAAAAAAAAAAAAAACTGACTTAAATAAACAAAATCAAAAGCCTAGATTTGTAGAAGTATGATCACTGGTCATAAAATTTTGTCTTTCAATACAATGTTTTTTTTTAACTGTAAATGAATGCAATGCCTTTATTTTTATTTATTTTTATGTGGTGCTGAGGATCAAACCCAGTTCCCCACACGTGCTAGGCAAGTGTTCTACCACTGAGCCACAACCCCAGCCCAATTCAGTGGTTTCAATAAAATCATCAGAGTTGTCAGCCACCACCCCAAATCCAGTTTTACCACATTATCCTCATCCYCAAAAGATCCCTCATTCCCATGTACTATCAACCTCTGTTCCACCCACAGCTCCAGGTAACCACTAATCAACTTCCGTCTCTATAAATTTGCCTTTTCTGCATATTTCACATATCAATGGCTGCGTTATATTCTATTGTATACCACATTTGTTCATCTATTCCCCAATTAATGGATAGTTGAATTATTTCCATCTTTTTATTATTATGGACCATGCTGATATGAACTTGCACATAAATCTTTGTATGGTTATAAGTTTTCATTTCTTTTGTATTTATACCTAACAGTAGTATTTATTGGTTATATGGTAAGTTTATTTTTTTCAAGAAAGTATCAAGCTTTTTCCAAAGTGTTAAAAATCAGTTGGCCAAAAATATAAGGATTTATTAATAGACTCTCCTTTTTAATACTGTTCCTTTTTGGCACATGACTATYCTTACATCAGTACCATACTTTCATGGTTAAGTGTAGCTTCATAGTAAGTTTTGAAATCAAGAAGTGTAAGATCTCCAAATTTGTTCTTTCTCAGAATTGTTTTGGCATGTCTGGGTCCTCTGAATTTGTGTGTAAATTTTAGGTCACCTTCCAAATTTCTGAACAACAACAAAGACAAACATACTAGGATTTTGATATGAATTATATTGAATCTATAGGGCAATTAAAGTCAAATGGCTCTCTTAATAACATCAACTTTGATCCATGAACATGGTATGTCACTCCACTCAGTGATGTTTTATAGTTTACAGTGTATTATAGGTCTTTCACTTAATTTTATAAATTCATTCCTAAATGTATCTGTTTGAATGCTAATATAAATGAAATTTTTCTTAATCTCATGTTTGGATTATTTATTTCTAGTATATAGAAAAACTAATTTTTATTTATCTTATAGCATGATACCTTGCTGAACTTGTCATTAATTCAAGTAATTTTGAGGTGAATTCCCTAGAATTTTCCAAATATAGATTATATAATTTATAAATAAATATACCTAGCTTTACTTGTTCCATTTCAATCTGGATTTTTTTTCTTGCCTGATTATACTGGTTAGAACCTCAAGCACAGTGTTGAATAGAAGTAGCAAAAGTGACTTTCCATTTTTCCAATCTTCAGGGGACGTTTCTCACCATTATGATATTTGCTGTAGGCTTTTCATAGATGCCTTTTATCAAGCTTAAAGTGTTCCTTACCTTCTACTCTTGAATTGTTGGGAGTTTTTGTCATAAAAATGCTGGGTTTGGATAAATTTTCCTTCTTCATGCATTGAAATTATCATATGGTTTTATGGCTTATTCTGTTAAGATGGTGCATTACATTAGTTGATATTCATTGTTCTATTAACATGATTTTAAACCATCTTTGCATTCCTGGTGTAAATCCTACTTGGCCAATGTGTAGAATCCTTCTTATATGTTGCTGGGTTTATTTGCTAATATTATCTTGGGGATTCATGAAATATATAGGTCTGTAGTTTCCTTATCTTGTGATATCTCTCTTTTTTTTTTAATTGGGATAATGCTTTACCTGCCTTTTTCTAAWCTATGGATCTGAGGAGCTAATGTTGCCAACATTACCACAGGATGGGTTTTGGGGATTAGGGTACAAAATTGGGTTAAAAGGAGAGAAGAATTTCTTCATCTTCTGCAAGTATTAGGAGTCCCCTTAAACCAGAACTAGAGGATTTCTAAAGCTGTCTGCACCTGGTGCCCAATTCTGGCTACCTGGAGATCAGTCCACTGGAGGGAAAATATAATAAACACAGTTATGAAGTGCTTTGAATTCTTTCTTTTTTTCCCAACTCATTTATTACTATTTGATTTTCAGATTTCTTGAATAGATTTTTTTTAAATCCAGAACCTAAACTTTCTATAAGCCTACACTATTTCATTTCTCTAGCAATTAATTTTTAGTATAGTTTACAAGGACATTAGTCCTCAACTTGATTGGGAATTAGAAATAATTACTATTCTGGATGATAAAATGAAGGTTTTGTGGAATTTGGTGGGGGAGGGGCCGGTTAGTGGACATTGAGTCTTTCTATTAACGATCAGTCATCAAACATAGAAAACAGAACTTTTGATAGCAACAAAGCAGTCTTTCTTTTGCTATTTCTGAAATTTCCTTGGGGGTGAAGTCTTCACAGAAAATTTATAAGTGAGCTGGTCCATGAGGGTTTATCTGGAACAGAAAAAGGATACTGTTTTTTTCTTCTTCTTCTTTCCTCTATGTCCTTCAAAATTAAACACTTCTATTGATCTGTCTTAAGTACATTGTCTCTTTTCTCTGTTACATCAGTTCTGCTACTCAGTAGATATTTATCCTGATATTATATTTTTTTACTTCCAAAGTTTCCATTTTTTATACTTTATATTTCTTCATTAGAAAAAACTAAATAAAAACATTTCAAGAGTATTTACTTTTACATCCTGGACTGTGTTTATAATTGATGATTATAAACCCTTTCTGGACCAGCTCACTTATAACTGATTTATCAGTTATTCCAACATCTGGGTCATCTCAGTGTTGGGATCTTTGGGTTGCCTTTTACCTTGAGAATTGCTCAAATTTTCTTGCTTTTTTCTATGTTTTTAAATGTATGGTGGACTTTTTGATACTGTGTTTTAAGAGTCTAGATTTCAGTTTTCTGGAGAAGGCTGAGTTAGTTTGTTTGTTTCCATCTAACTTGGTTAGGGTTAGAGTTCCATAGTAGTGGTTCCCATGTCATTTCCGTTTTAAAAAGCTGGGTGCTGTTTCCTTTTAGTCCACCCCATGCTTGCCTTATTCGGGGTTCATCCTGTCAGTCTGGGACTTGGACAATGGTATAAACTTTAGCTCAATTCTTGAATCCTGGGCCTTGTTGCTTTGAGTCTTTCCTGCACGTGTGCACTTCATGAGTAAGTCCTGGAATTTGATTCATTCATAGAGAGAAGAAAGGCATCATCTCCTCCAGCTATTTCCTGAGACTTCCAGATTAATCTTTAATTTTTATCATAGTATTTATTTCATAACAACTCAAATGCATAGAAGAGCTCTTGCTAATGATAACAGTGTCCCTGCCATCTCAATCCTACTTCCCAGAAGCAACTTCTATGGCATATTTGTTTTTAGTTCTTCTCTTCAAACTATTTTTATGCCTCTATTTCATGATTAATCATATTTAAACAATATTTTATGCCTCTGTATGAAAAAAAGTGATAATTTACCCTTGTCAGTCCCTCTCCCAACATTGTTAGTTGTATTTGAAATGTTTCACTTAATATATTTAAGCCTATCTTTTTAGATTCATTAAGTTTCATAATCTTCAATTCCTGAATCCACATGGTAGAGATCTGGATGCCAGTGATTTTTCTTTCTTCTTTCAATTGCACCTTCCAAGAGCTACATTTAGACCAGGGTATTGTCAGTATTATGCTCTTCCCAAAGGCTCACTGTAAATTTTAAGGTTGTTTTAAAAACCATTAAACAGTGTTTGCATCATTATGATATATGCATAACTGTTGTTCAAAACTGGTACAAATCACAGTTTAGTGGTACATGGCCCTCTTGAAGTCTTATTTGATATGTCAACCAATTAAAGAATGTTAACAGCATCAAGAAAATAAATTTCTTTACCTTTTATCCCTTAGTATTCAAAATGATGCCACAATTTTGCTTATGTTTGAGTCATTACTTTCTGTTTATTTTAGATAGATAGACAGGCCTGCTTTTATAGATGTATGTGTGTTTTTCTAGGATTTCTATGTCCTCTTTTTCCTGGGAGACTTCCTGATGTCTATGACCTGCAGAAAGCTATCATTCTGAGATTTCCCTTTCTTGTTCCCTTGGGATGAATCCTACCACTTCCTGGATTTTGTGTTTCTCTTTCTTCATGCCTTCATTTTGCTGGAGTACATTTTCAAATAACTTACTAACATAGGATGAATGGGAGGGAGTTTGTGCTTACGGGCATGACTAGCAATATCTTTACCTTGTCATTTAATTTGATTGACAGCTTTCTGGGGTTTAGAATACCAGGTTGAAAGTTCCTTTCTCTAGGGACATTGAAAGGACCTCCTATTCCTTCTAGTATCCACGCTTGCCCCACCAGGAGCTATGAGAACAAGGGCAATCCATTCATTAGCCAATCTCAACCCATGCATTTCTCTCCTCTTTGTGTGTAGGTGATTTATAAGAGTTTTTCTTTGTCCTGAAGGGGTGGGATGAGGTATTATATTTCTAATCACTGTGCTTTCATGCTTGTCTCCAAGTTGCTAACTGAGGATTGACTTTTCTGTTAAAGAACCCATTCACCTCCCACAATTCTACGAAGGTGATGGTACGAGTCCTGTTTCTAGGTAGTCTTTGGTCCCCAGCTTTAAGACTATCATAGATTTTCTGGAATTCTAGTTGCATATAWGTTTTTTTTTCTGTATTTCCCTTTTCTTCAGTTGGTTAGTCAATTCTCCTTTCACCTGGAGCTAAGTATAGATATTGGGGAAGATAGATAGTACACTTCCCAAGAGGGTGATTTTTAATTAATATAGAACAGAAGGTATTCCAAAGTGAGTATATAGCTTATGTAGGTTTGGTAATTCTTCAATAGTGCTGTGCTCAGGAAAGAATCCCAGGTGACGTGAGACTTAGGATTTTCACTCTCTATACTGACTTTTTCTCTTTAATGACTACTGTTGGTCTTTTTCAACAACAGAAACCTCAAGGAAATCCTACAAAGAAAACCAAACCAAAAAAAGTAGATCCCCTGAAAGGCCAGAAGGTTATTGCAAGATGTGATGAAAATGGCTTTTATTTTCCAGGTAGGCTTGCTTTTTACTTATTTATTTATTTTTTGTGAGACTCTTTTGTTAAATAATTTGGCACTAGAGACCACTAAGGTATTCTTAAGTGAAACAGTGATGGGTTTTCTCATCACATTGGGGTGGGGGTGGGGGATAGCCAGAAAAGTGTATTTATTTTAACTCTCATTTGCTTAGCAAATATATTTTTATTATATACCTACTATGTTCTATTGCACAATATTCTGAAAGTGCTGGTCTGATACAGTAAGCAAACACATGAAAATCCTTGCCTTTCTGGAGGTTATTTATATCTTACGGTGGGAGACAGACAAGCAACGGAACAAGTTACAGGCGGGTTGCATGTCAAGATACAGTGCCCGCAGAGAAAGATCAGGCCACAGGGGGGTTGAGAGTGTCAAGGTGAAGGTCGCGGTTCTAAATATGTGCTTAGCCCTGCACACCGAAGAGCTCTTGGGGAAGGTGACACAGGATAAGGACTCAAAGGAGGAGGGCGCGCCATGAAATCCTCTGAGGAAGACAGTCTGGAGGCTGGAGCAAGCATGGAGAGTTGGGGAAAGAGCAAACTAGAGGGGAGGAGCCAGCAGCCGCGTGGCTGCACCTCAGGGGTCTGCCCAGCTTTCCTGGGCGGATGTGGTTCCTGAAAGAAATGAGCAACTGCAGCCCAGCAGTGGGTGGGGGTGTGAAAGACCTACTAAGAGGGTCAGAGAGACCGGCCAAGACCACAGTCACACGCAAAACCAAAGGTCACACTGGCATTTTATCTTATTTTATTTAATCTTTGTGTGTGTGTGTGAAACTAGAGATTGAACCCAAGGGTCTCTGTCACGGACCACACCCCTAGTCCTTTTTATTTTAAGATAGGGTCTTGCTAAGTTGCCCAGGCTGGCCTTGAACTTGCATTCCTCCTGACTCAGCCTCGAAAGTGTCTGGGATGACAGCGTGTGACACTGCACCCCACCTGTTGGCAATTTTTTAAAAATGCGTAATTAGAGATCATTTGCTCTTAATAGCTGCATGGGATCTGGCTAATTGGGAATTTTAAATTTGCAGCTGTGATCAAATTTAAATAAGTTGGGGTAAAATATTTGAATTTAGTCATATAACTAGTAATTTTCTAACTAGTGACTAGATAGAAAACACTGACTGCCAAATTAAATGRCAGTGTGTGGGAGAGCTGGATGAACTTTTGTGTCCTCTCCTCTCCAAAGTCAAGTAATCTTTAATGGGAAATTTCAACTTTACCTTGATAGAGTTAGTTTTTATAGAAAATAATTTCAAGCTTATATAAAATAGTTGCAAGAAAAAAATACAGAGAMCTCCTGTGTGTGCTTTACCTAGATTTACAAATTTTTAACATTTGATCACATTTAATCACATACTTTTATTTATTCTCTCTGTCTCATCTCTCTTTCCCCTCCACACGTACACATCACACCCACATATCATTCATGCTGAACTATTAGAGGTTGGGCAACACTTATCATGCCCCTTTGCCGTTGATACATCAGTATATGTTTCTCAAGTACAAGGAAATTTAACACTATTATAGTCCTTTAATCTACAGATTTTTGACTTCACTAACTGTCCCAAAAATGGCTTTTATATCATTTTTTTCTCAGTGCAGATCCAATCCAGAATCCCATATTGCATTTAGTTAACACGTCTCTTTAGTCCTCTTTAATCTAGAGTCATTATTTAGCTTTTTCTGTCACTCATGATGATAGTGACGTTACTGAAGAGTAAGGCCAATTATTTCATGACATGTTCCTCACTTTGGACTAGATTGGATTCAGTGTGTGTGTTCTTGGTCAGAATGTTACCTGAGTGACCTTATTCAGGTGACATTGCACCTGAAGGCACATGATGTCCATCTGCCCTCATTAGTCCACCTGGTCACTGTGAGTTGCTACTTTCCCTCCTGCAAAAGAGAAGGACAACAGAGTGATGTAGGGCACAGACATGGCACCCATGGGTGAACCCCTTTCTGGAAGCTGTTACTCCCAACCTCCTAAACACATTCAGCGAAGAAYAGCTGCTTGAAAATGCGCCCTCAGCCCAAGGCAGCATTGCACCTGCCGGATCTGGGTGCCCCTTCCTAGAGGCCAGGTCACACTGGAGCAGAGCTGGGCCGGCTGGCTATTGCTGCCACCCTCCAGGGCATGGCAGGGACTCCCAGGAGAGTTCCATGTTCCAGGGGTGTTCGGGGTGGACTGCCTAGATGAGGAACGACTCCTGGTGCAGAGTGGAAGTGGTCAGGGCTTGTCTGGCTGACAGGCAAGATGCCTTTCAACACCGCATCCAATCGTGGCTGGTGGGACTGGGGCTCRCTCCTCGTCGTTCACTGGCAAGAAGTGCCTTACTTGGGGAAGCTCGGGGATTTCTGTTTGATGCCACAGGACAAGTTACAATGGAAAAAAAACAGGGGCATGTGTGATGTCTACATCAGAAGACCCTGAGCTTTGGTTTATTCCGATTGGGCCCCTTCCCTCTTCTCGTCCTATGACAGGGGGTCCCTCAGTTTCCCTCCGCCTCAGCTTCCCTGCCTTTACAACTGGAATTAAGACCTACCACAGCCTTTGTGAGATCGTCGCCTAGATTAAGGGTGGCGGCGCACAGCACGCTGTTCTAGTGTCCACTGAGAGCCCCTCTGAGGAGATCCAGCCACTGCAGTACTCTCTGGGGCGCAGGCAKCTGTGGTCACATTCACAGCTTAACGGAAGTCACAGGCAAAGGGACTCGCCAGACTAAAGGAAGAAGAGGCTATGACAAGGGAGTATGGGTGGAATTGAAGTGGAGAAGAGGGCCAGGACTCTCCAGCCTGAGACTCCTGTTTGGAAAAAAGATGGAGAACTACGCATGCAACTTTCACCCAAGAACCAACTTACACTGACGGCCTAGACTGTTTCACCAATCCTCTGACCACTGGGCATGGACAGCATGTTTGCTGGGAAGCTCAATGGAGGTGTGTTCCCCTTCCCCCAGCCGACTACAGGACAGCTCCTGGCTGAGCTAAGAGGCTGACTCCTACCCAGGAAGATGCCTAGGCCAGACRGCCTCCCCCAGAAGGAAGACCAGAAGCCTGGACGCTCTTCTGCTTGCTCCTTGAATCAGTCCTCAGATGGATTTCAGAGCCAAGAGACATAGTCTCAGCTCTCTGGCATTGGGGGKAGAGAGAGAGAGAGTGCAGGAAAGGGAGGCCCAAACTTGGAGCTGAACTTGGTCCTAACACAAGAATTGGTAGCAATTCCTTAATAAGATGGAGACTGAGGCCAACCCCGAGTCCTCCGGCTCTCCCAGGTTATAGCTAGCAGGGGAGCCTGGTGAGGCTGGTCTTGAAGATAATTGTGAGAAACTTACCCACATGTACTGATATTATAGAAAGAAAGAAACAGAATTGAAGGAACTAAAAAGACGTCATGAGCTGGGTACAATGGTACACGGCTGTAAATCCCAGTGCTCCAGAGGCTGAGGCAGGAGGATCACAAATTCAAAGCCGGTCTTAGCAATTTAGCAAGGCGCTAAGCAACTCAGTGTGACCTGTCCTGTCTCTACATAAAATACAAAATAGGGCTGGGGATGTGGCTCAGTGATTGAGGGCTCTTGAGTTCAATTCCTGGTACCAAAAAAGAAGAAGAAAACAAAGAAGAAGGAGAAGGAGAAGTCGTGAGAACACAAAGTCTACRTGCAAATGATCTACAGCAAAGATAAGCAGATGTTTTATATGGAAGAAAAAAAGTAATGTCAGCTCTGTGGGACACACAGCCTCCGTCCCAGCTTCTCCACCTTGTTACCTTCTCATTTTTCTAACACCAGATGAGARGCTGATTCAGGTGGAGTTCATGTTTCCTTTATCTTTCACAATTTAGTAACACCTTTTTTTCTATCTTTGGAGAAGAAAACAGGGCTAAAATCAATAAGTAAGGGAATGGGGCAATAGGGGGTGTCCAGAGGGAAGATGGTCTCTGGGGCTAGCGTCCCACCRCTGGAAGGCAGCTTGTGGTGACCAACCGACGAACAGGCCTCCTGCAGTCTCCCAGCTCCAGCCCAGAGCATGCGCTTTGCCACTCCACAAGGCGCAGCCGGGTAGACCACGTTCACATTATTTTCTAGAGAAATCAAAGGGCTATGCTGATGAAAGCAGGCTGTGACTCGGTGGCACTCTTGTCTTTATATCTATAATGCCGCCTTTGATTCCTTCCAGGGATTGTGAAGAAGTGCTTGAACCCCACCCACGCACTGGTGGGCTTCAAGTATGGAGACACCAAGGTCGTTCCCACCTCCTTCATCACTCCCATCGGAGGCGCCATGCCCTGCCCGCTGCTGCAGGTACCTGCTCCATTCTGTCCTGGGACCCTTCCCACCATCCATGCCGTGTAAGATAACAGAAGATRGCAAGGCACTGTTTAGCACTTTGCCGATTCCAGATGGGCTCCGGCAGGGAGCTTATGTTTGGGCGGGAAGAGCAGCGGCCTCTGTTTCTGGAACCTGTCGCCTGACAGTTGCTTTGCTAGTGACTCTGACCTGCCAGCTCCCACTGATGTAGCTCAGGACTGTGCAAACTGACTTACATTGCACCTTGTGGCTCTTGTCGATTGACAAGACRATAGATAGATGGGGGAAGGAAGTCGCTGTGGCTCTTGACACTCTAACTGCAAAAGATGACATTATATTGTATGTAATATCAAGGAAGGAGACAGTGCTTCCTTAACATTGTAGTCAGTTGACATCAGACTGTGATGTAATGCACAGTGGCCCCCAGTGTGCATTCCACAGATGAGTCAGACTAATGTGCTCTCATCTGCTCATCAATTCGTAAAGGCTCTACTGTGTCTGGCCCATCCTCCTGCCACTGTCCTGGCACCGAGGCCAAGGTAAGGGGAGGCCTTGCAAAGTGCAATTTCTTGCATCATATGAGCCAGGAGGAAATAGAGCATTTCACCTTGGATGTCTGTTCCTATGTCCCTGGCCAAACCCATGGTGCACTCAAGGCACTTTGCCCCTGATGACTGGTCAGTGCCCAGCAGTCTGTGTGCTCCTTTGCAAAGTTCCCTTTCTGCTGCAKGTGACCTGTGGAACTTTTATCCATGCCTTCCAAGTGTGCACTTGGGAGCCACATTGACCAAACCTGCTCCTTTGCTTTGAGTGGCAGCTCTTCTGATATGCGAGGAGACACCAAGTGTATTTCTTAAGTCAAGCACCCCAAACAGGTTCCTTCAACAAATCTCATAACATGTGGTTTCCAGAACTCCCACCATCCTCCTGGCTGTCCCCTGGACCTTTGTCAGTTGGCAAAGTCCTACCRAAATGGGGCTTCCCCAAACTGACCATAAACTGACCAGGTGTGCCTCACCAATGAATCCAGAGAATTCTGGAATGCATTCTTAACAGGAAAAAGAAAAGGAGGTATTTGAATTTTAGCCCCAGTACTTCCCAGTCATGCAGGATATTTTGACTCAAGTTTCTATCAACATTGTCTGTGAGATCTGTAAACATTATCTGCTCTGATATCTGTTCTCCTCTACAGGTTGGAGATTACGTGTTTGCCAAAATTGTGATCCCCAAAGGATTTGACTTCTATGTCCCTGCCATTGTCACAGCACTTCCAAATCCAGATTCAAACTCAGAAAAATTCTACACAGTTTTAAAGTGTAACAACCGTAGAGTAAGTAGACTTTGGTTTAGAAAATCACTGTCCTGCTAGAAAGTGGCCTTACCCTGGAAGTCCCCTCACCCTTTTCTGGCTTAGCCAGATGTTTTGGGAAAGTCTCTGCCTAGACACACCCTGGGTTTGGATTCTGCCAGGAAAGCTCTGTTCCCACTGGGGTAATCATGACCACCCTGCTCCTGCGCTGAATGATCTTTGACTCTGGCCAGACTCTGTTCTGCATTTGACAGCTGGACAGGCTCACTCTGGGTTCTTGGGGTGTCATTTTCTCCCCCCTCCCCGTCCTCCTCCTCCTACCTTGTTCTCCTCTGCAAGCCCTGCAGATTCGGGCATCTCCCAAGCTTCTCCCAGTCCTGTCCTCCTTTGCTACCTCATGGCCTGTCTCTTGGGATAAGCCTTGATCTTTGGACACCTTATCTGGGCCAGGCATGGTAGCCCCTGCTCTCACCCTGAGCTCCAACCCTGCATTTCTTGCTGGGTTCTCCTGGACRGCTCCCTCTTGGTGAACCACAGGCATCCCAAAGTGCGGGGGTCAGAGGCAGGGATGCCCCTCTTCCTTCATCCCTCATCAAGGAATATCACCCCTGATTCGCCGCCTTATCCCTGCCTAGGAAACCCCCGCCCTGGGAATGGCAGGAATATGAGGTCAAGTGGAGCTGGGTGGAGAGAACATAGGCTCTGTGTTTTAAAAAGCTTGGATTCACTGAACCCTCTGCTGTGCTTTCTAGTGGATACCTGACCTGGGCAGGTTGCTTCACCTTTCTGAGCCTCRGTTTCATTACCTAAGAGATATGTGAAGTGTTGTGTTTTCCGTCTGACCYGTGGAGTTCCTCTCTGTCTTCCAGATGTAATGCATACTGTCGGTATTCTTTTTTCTAGTCTATTGCTTGTCTTTTAATTTTAGGATCTCTGTTTATACAGATGCTTTAAATTTTAATATGGTCCGATGTATGCATCCTCTCCTGTATAAATTGCCTTCTCTGTGTTTTGTTTAAGAAATCCTTCCTTAATGATATATTTCTCTAAAAACTTACCTGAGACTTCCCACTGGACCCCCTTCTCCCACGCTGGCTTCCTCACCAAATTTCCAACCCTGACTTATTCCTCTTTTATACCCTCTTCCTACGTAGCCCCTAATGGAAAGAAGGTTCTCACGGTGTTTTTTAAAAGTACTTGAATGAATGACATTCCTAATGAAAACTGACATTGCCTGATGGACCACTTAACAAGCCTAAAACATTGATTGGCAAGAGAAATAGATTGGTGAGAAGAAAGCAAAATAACAGGGCTAACTTTATTAAGCCCTTGCTATGAGCCTAGGGTGATGTAAATGCTCTCTGGGTTGCGAGTGGCCGAATCCTCAGCACACTGTGAGGTGTAGGGACTATCATCCCATTTTCAGATAAGGAAACTGAATCAGAGAACTGAAGTCACATATCTGGTAAGTGATGGAGCAGGCATTTCAACCCAAACATCTGGATCCATGGCTTGCACACTAAGGCACTGTGCCCAACTGCTTCGTCTACAGAATTAAAATATCGAGTAAATTCTTGACTGTACCATGAGGTATTTCCGTCAGGAGATGGGGCAAGGGAAACCAATGTTAAGGTTGAGGGAAGGGATGAAGATAGTCAGAGCCAGTGGACACCAGATCGCTGTGTCCGACTAACAAAAGAAGAAGGTGTCTTCCCACCAGTCCGTGAAAAACCATTTTGTTAGAGAAAGTCGAGCAGTCTGGCAGGATGGAGAAGGGGCTGGCATTCCTTGTCATGACAGGGTTCTCTGGGAATAGCAAATCAAAGGACATCTGAGGAGATGTCCCCAGGCATGCCCCAGGGTTTGGGGCGAGATGAGGCAGTTAGCCCAGGATCCTTGAGAAGCAGCTTCAGAGCCCCGGGGGCGGGGTGGGGGGGGACCTTGGAGAGTGTGTGTGTGTGTGTGTGCACACGCGCGCGTGTGTGTGCCATGTCTTATGTGGGTAGATGTGACAACTGACCCAGAATGTGGAGAAATGACAGAGCCGATTCAACAATGTTTAATTCCGTGAGTAATCATCAAGGGAGTCTCTGAATCTAACCTGCTGTCTCTTAAGTGTCACCCTGAATAGGATAATGACTGGTAGTTATTATCATGGGTTGGGTAGAATAAAATCATCTCTGAATTGTGGACTCTCCTGATTTAAACTGAATGAACACTTTTGGTGTCGTTGCAGGAATTCTGCCCTCGGAGTGCACTCATAAAGATCAGCCAAAACAAATATGCTCTCTCTTGCTCTCATATAATTTCACCCCCACTTCAGGAAAATCCAAAAGGGTAAGTGTGCCCAGCCTTCATCCCTTGGCTCACATCTGTGCCCCTTGTCCTATTTGTAGGTGGAATCCATGGCTTCCGCACATGGGGGAGAAAACCAGAGTGGCAGCCTGCCCACTTAGTGTAGCTCTGTGACAGCGGTCCCTTCCGCGTCATACTTCTCTGTGACTCAGCCCTCCATTGGGTTCTAATCTCAAACTCCACATGATTCCACTGCCCTTCAGAAGGGCATTTGGTCCCGTCATTTTTTTGGGGGGCAGGGGGGCAGGAATTAAAGCCCTCCTCATGAGGAGGCTCTTGGGACAGTTACCTGCTGCCTATCCCATGTTGGAAGGCAGAAGTGAGGGGCTGGCCCTGGCTTACAGTGAGAGGGTGGGCAGGGGTGGTGGTTTCCAGGAGCTGCACATTTGGGGTGAACAAATGTTACTTTTTTATTTCATTTATTTTTGAGACAGGGTTGCTTAGTGCCTCCTAAATTGTGGAGGCTGTCTTTGAACTTGCAATCCTCCTACCCCAGCCTCCAGAGCCGCTGAGGACAGTGGGATTTCTAAGAGCTGTGGAGGTGGATTAGCACAAAGAGCGAAAAGAGCAGGGGAATTAACACAAATAGCCTAAAGAGCAGGGGGGAAAGCAACCCCAAGTCTGTGGGGCCAAGAAGGGTGTCAAGGTTGAAGTCATAGAGCCATGACCTTGGAGTCAAAAGTGTATGAACAGAGATAAATGTAGATTCTGCGCAAGGGCTGTGGAAACACTTTCCAGTTTTACTTAGAGTTCACGGGCTGTCTTTGGGAGCCGGCCTTTATTGTCTTGATGGCCTGACCTTCAGCTTCATTACAGAAACCGTCAAAAATCCTCTCCCTCCCCTTCTCGTGCCTGCCCTTTGTGGGAATTCCTGCCTCTTCCCGAGATGTTGAAGAATCGGCGTCCCTCCTGTCATCTGAAGTTGATCTATCAGGTTCCAGTGGCCTATCCCACTGCCTCGGATCCTGGCTCTATGGGTCATCATCCCTGGATACTTGGATTTCTTTCCTTAGTTCCTCTCCATTGAAGGCTTCACCCTTCAAAAAACAGGTTTGCTTTCCCCTACCATATACACACACCCACACACACACACACACACACACACACATACTCAAACACAAAGGCCTCCCGTGGCTGTGGTCCAGCACGCTCCTTCCCTTCTCGGCCTCTGTCTGTGCAGTCTGGCAGACTTGGTGTCTCACTCTCTTGCCTTCTGTTCCTCCCTACGCCTTGGGCACCAGCTTCACCCCAACCCTCTGCAGAAACAGTTCTCACAGAGCTACTCAGGACCTCTCCCGGGGCCAAGCCAATGAGCTCTTCCCAGGCTTGACTGCGCTTGCTCTTGGGATCCTGTGTGACAGCCAGCCACTCCCTCCTTCCCTAGCTCGCTGGTCTTGAAGCTCGCCATCACTCTCTCTGAGTTTCTCCCTGCCTGGCTTCACCCACGTGGCTCCCGCGATTCTGCTTACTCTAAGGACCCCATGTCTCCTCCAATCCAGGCTGTTCCCCTGGGCTCTTGAATCAGGACCCCAAGCCCTGAGAGGGGGACCTCCAGTGGGTCTCTAGAGAGTGCCCCCGTGGTTGTAATGCACACTCGTGGTGGCTAGCGACAGGGAAAGGACATTGGAAACTAAGACTGGGCCCATCGCTCACCCACCATCATTTGGCTCGTGCTCTGGGAAGATTGCTTTTCCCCTCTGAGCTTTGTCCTGCCTTTGTCCGGCTAGGGGTGGTAGAAGGGTTAGGAATGTCCCTTGCTGGGTCTAGCATAAAGTAGGTGTTYGGCGCATGGTGGGAAAAGCACTGTATCCAGCCACCCAAAGGGTATTTGTACTTAAGGGTGCAGAATGGCAAATTGAGCCATCTAAACCGAAATTGTAGTTCCCCACAAACCTGCTGCCCTCTCATCCTTCCTCGTCTCAGTTCGCCTTTCCACCTACCCGTCGGAGGGGTCCTAGCAGAAATATGCCGGTCATCTTTGCTGCTACTTGTCCTTCACCCACCACACCCCAAGTCTCCATCATCTGTCTCCAGGTTTTAGTGGTTTCAAATTGCAGGTATTTTTCAGCTCTCTGTGTTAGGTCAGGAGCTCGCATTTCTTCCAGCCTTGTTTTGCCACCAGCCCAGGCATTGTCCACGAGAACTGAGCTGGGTAATCTTCCTCACATGCAAATCTGCTTTTAAGATTCCCTGACTTAAAAATCCACCCCCTCCCTGAATGCCCCTTCTTATCCTATCTTAGCCTTTCATTGCCGTGACCCAGCCTGCCTTCCTAGCCTCACTTGTCCCTAGCCAGCCTCAACCAATCCTCCTCTGGGGCACACTAACCACACACACACACACCATGCCTTTTCAGGTCTCTGTGTCTTTGTGTAAGCTGGATCTCCCTGCCCTGGAACGGTACTCCACACCCTTGGCCAMCTGGGGAATTCCAAGATTGAGCTCAGGTGTTCCACTCGTCTTCAGTAACCTGGCAGCCAGCCCTCCCAGTAAGGTGATCCTACTGCACCCTGTAGAGGTTTTCATTAGAGAAAATTTTTATAGCTAGACATAGTGGCTCATAACTGCAATCCCAGMTACTCAGAAGGCTGAGGCAGAAGAACAACAAGTTTGAGATTAGCTTGGGTAACTCAGTGAGATCCTGCCTCAAAATTTAAAAATTTTCTAAAGGGCTGGGGTATAGCTCCGTGTCCCTAGGTTCAATCATCACTAACAAAAGAAAAAAAGAAAATTTCCCTTGTGTTGGATCATGTCTTAGTCCATTTTCTGTTGTTACAACAAACTGCCTAAAAGCTAAGTAATTTATAAAGAAAAAGAGGTCTATTAAACTCCCAGTTTTGAAGACTGAAAGGCTCAGACCAKGTGGCCCCATCCATTTGGCCTCTGGTGAGAGCGCTAAGGTTGTATCACAACTTGGTGGATACCATCCAGTGGGAGTGCATATAACAAAGATTATGGGGTAAAACAGGAAGCCAGAGACTGGAGAGGGGCTAGTCTTATTCTTTTATAACCRCTCACTCTCACAAGAACCAGCTCACTCCATGAGAACAACATTTAGTCTCTTTTTAGGGCCAATCCTCCAATGACCTAGCCACCTCCCACTAAGTCCCACCTCTTAAAGGTCCCACCATCCTCAACATCATCATATGTGAACCTTTGGGGAACAAACACCATCCAAACCATAATAAACTATGTGAAGTCCTTGAAGGCCAAGGCCACATTCTATCTGCCTCTGAAGCCCAATTTCCAAATCTGACTCACAGGCTATGCCCACTGACTATTTGAAGAACAACTCAAAAAAACAAATAGATGTTAGTGTCAGCACCCAGTGGTGATCCTGCAGGGCTACATAATTCCACAGAGAATGTTTCCTAAGTATGATTATTGAGAATATATGCTACACTCCTTCATCCTTTGTCTAGATAGCACATTTCCTTTAAAAATAATAGTGGATTTTGTGTTAGTCTCAAAACTTCACTCAAAAGGTATGGTATGTGGGGTTGAGGTTGTGGCTCAGCAGTAGAGTGCTTGCCTAGCACATGCGAGGCCCTGGGTTTGATCCTTGGCACCACATAAAAATGAATATAATGAAGGTATTATGTGCAACTACAACTAAAAAATAAATATTTTTAAGAATATGGTATGTAAATTATAGTACATTATGAAGAAATATGAATAGATATGTCCAGGTGTGGGCTRTTGTCCCTAAACCCAACATTTTCAATTGCTATTTGTTCATTAAAATTCATTTCTTTCTATGCTGAGAAAAGCATTTGTTTCCATGTTTCCAAGGCTTTATTGAAAGCCCTTAGCTGCTAATTTTCTACTCTCACTTCTGGGGCTTCACACAATGAATGTATTCATTGACTGACTCCCTCCTCTCCCATTGTAATTTCCACTGTTTTTCACACTACCTGCCTTTCTGGGTGTTAAGAGAGTCTGAATTTAATTCTCCTAAGCAGAGGTCACATTCAGCCTGCTAAGTTCAGAGCTTAATCTGTCCATTTCCATAATCAGGGCTGGCAGAGCTGAGCTCAAAAATAAAGATGTAGGGTTTATTTGTATCTACCCTGGAATTTCCTTGTGATAGGTCTTTCACTGGGGGCTCTTTCTCACTTTATAAATGTGCCATCTTTTAATGAGGCCAATTAAAAAAAATCTTGGTGCTTTCTTCATGGGCCATTAAAGAAATGTATTATAGGTAACATCTCCAACAAGTCATCATTTAACTAAATTTAATTTTAAAATATTGAATCAAGTATACCATCCGTTTAGGGCAGCGAAGACAGGGATCTTTGGCCCCAGACAGCTGTGTGCACTAGGATGCCTGATGTCTAGCTCTCCGTCTTCTGGCTCTCCTCTCCTTCCTCCTGGGGGCCTTCAGGTGTAGGTGACTGACAATATTCCCTGCAGGTCCCTCTTCCAATTTCTGACTCAGGAATGAAAGTATTTGGAGAGTGAAGGGTTCAAAATCGATCAGATATGGCCGAAGCTGATGCAAATTGTCATTCTTGATTCAAGATCTGACACCGAAATTATCTTGAAGAGGGGCTGGGGTGTGGCTCAAGCGGTAGCGCGCTCACCTGGCATGCGTGCGCCCGGGTTCGATCCTCAGCACCACATACAAACAGAGATGTTGTGTCTGCTGAAAACTAAAATAAATAAATAAATAAATAAATAAATATTWAAAAAAAAAAGAAATTATCTTGAAGACTCTTAGCAAGGTTGGCTTGCAGAATAAGCTACACCTCTTGCCACGTTCCAGTGACTGGTTCCCAGAGGAGATCACTGACAAACCCATATCTACAATGTGAAATGACTTGAGGCTGGCGCTCATTTCCTCTTTTGCCAAGGCCACACCTGAGAGTGGGTCTCAGTGGAGGGAAGTGACTGCCCTTCCCTTCCTCTGTCCCTCAGGAGTGTCCCTAAACTTTCTTCTACATGCTGTGACATCACAGTCATCTTTTCCGAGCCAAAAAATATATATATATTCTCTAACRTATCCATAACTTCCCTCATTTAGAGAACACCCATGTAATTTCTCCCAGGAAATGTCAAGCAGAACAGGAGGAAATTCCCCCCATTTAGCATCCTCTGTCCTCCTGTCCTCACTTGGCAGGGGACTCCTTTCCCTGGCTGCCTCCCCTGGGGACCTGTTCACATAAGGGGACTGTGGCCTCTGGCTGCTGCAGGGGAAAGCACCGAGTAAGTTCCATGCTCTGGCTTCTAGWTTTCCCCACGGAAGGGAACAGCCTCCGCAGGCGTTGACCGTCCACAGCTTGGGTTCTGGTAGTCCTGAGCCCAGTCCACACACCTGATGTTGCGTAACTGGCTGGAAATCCCTCCAGCGGCGCTGGAATCCATCCTCCCTTCRTTCTTGGCAGAGCCAGACTTGAGCAAGGCTCCTCCTTAAGAAGACCCTCTTTAGAGAGGGAGCATGATCTCTTTTTAAAACTACTAACATTCCCAATGTGATCTCAGGAGAGTCAAATAAGATCAGTCATTTTCTGGGTCCTCCAGAAAAACCATCAGGTACCTGGAAGAAGTTGTTGGGTCCTGAGATCCCGATGGTGAGGAACTTTCTTGTCTTGTTGCTTGACTGTCTTAGGGACCTCGTCGTGAATTTGGCTGCAGGAGGAGAACCCTCCCAGGGCTCAGATGTGTTTGGCTGGGTCTATGGTCGCTTCCCAAGTCCTGCTTTTCTCTCTTTTGAGCAGTTTAGTAATTTTCCATGTAGCCATTTGGACTTGGGAGGATGTGCCAATAGAAGTGGTAATTCCCACGTTGTTTCGCTCCCTGCTTTACTCCATGTGGTGTGACCTCACATTGTCCTCCTGTCAGACTGAAATCAAGTCACTGATTGAAACCTGAGGTTCAGCAATGCCTCTGACTTGACACGAGACGAATCGCTTCCTTCTGTCTCCCTTGCTCACTCCTGACAACTTTTTCCTTGGAGGGAGACGTGCATTTGAAATCAATATTTTAGGCAGTTTTTTCACTGCTGTGACCAAAAGACCTGAAAGAATGATTTTGGAGGAGAAGTTTATTTGGGGCTCCAGGTTTCAGAGGTCTCAGTCCATTGACAGTCAACTCCATTGCTCGGTGTCTGGGATGAGGCAGAACATTGCAGCGGAAGGGTGTGGGGGACATGGCAGCTCAGGACATGACAATCAGGAAGCAGAGAGAGAGTGTTCCTCACAGGGACGAAATATAAACTTCCAAAGGCACAACGCCCCCTGAGACCTACCTCCTCCAGTCACACCCTGTCTGCCCTCAGTTACCACYTACTTGGTCCCTATAAGGGACTAATGCACCAATGGGGTTAAAGCTCTTGTAACCCAATCATTTCCTCTCTGAACATCCTTGCATTGTCTCACACATGAGCTTTTAGGGGACACCTCATATCTAAACCATAACAGTCATTAAGCCTCTGTCTGTCATTAGCTCCTTTTCTCCTTTCTGGTCAGATTAGGAGCCCCATTTCCTATCCTAAAGCAAAGTCTTGAGAAATAAGAAGTTCAGCAATAAATCCTGTCTGCAAGCGTCATGCATTATCCACGGGGCAAATGCCATTGGCTACTCTCAGGAAGTGTGCCGGGGTGTCCTGACACTTGAGACAAGAGAACAGACGGCATCACAGAGATTCGCTGACCCTCAGGGCCAATGGTCTGTCTCTTCATTTTCTTCCCCTTCAYTGTTGAAGCTCAGAGGCCTCCCGGTCCTTCTCAGACATCTGCTTGGTGTCTACCTCACAGGTCTTCCTGTTCTTTATGTCCTGAGATAGCCTTGCTGACAGACACTGAGGGCAGAGTTGAAATGAGGGCCCCAGGGAGCAAGCTAGAATACTGGCAAGCTGGTGGTGCCTTCCTCAAGCAATTGAGGTGGGTTTTGACCTCAGGAGAGTACAGAGTGGGTGCTCAGTGCTTTCTTCCCCGAAGTGGGACCAGCCCCTGCTGAAGAGCCAAGGAAAACAAACACTGTCCCCTCCCCAGCTGGAGCATGCACACACGTTTGGCCCATTTATCTTATTACAGGTCAAGCMTCCCTTATCCAAAATATGACATGCTCTAAAATATGAGCTTTTTGAGCACTGAAATGACACTATGAGTGGAAAATTCCACACCCAACCTCACAGTCAAAATGCAGGCACATCAGAAATATGGTATAAAATCACCTTGGGCTTATATTAGGTATATATGAAACACAAATGAATTTTGCATTGAGACTTGGATCCTATCCCCAAGCTATTTCATTATGTATATAAATTTTCCAAAAAAAAATTTTTTTTTAAATTCTAAATCTGAAACACTTCTGGTCCCAAGCATTTCAGATAAGGGACACTTAACCTTCCCAACCAGCTCTGTAGCTCTATAGCACCTAATTTACTGCCACTCTGATATGAGATTGAGCTAAAGAAAGCCACTGAGTCCCGGGTCCTTCCCAGGTTTGCTGATGGAGAAGGTCCACCAGCAGGAAGTCGGGATCMTGGCTGCCCTTCCCCTCTCCACAGAGTGGGTGTGAGTTGGGCATCAGAGTGAGGGGCATGGGTCGAGGGTGGTAAGAGCTTTCACATCAGATTCACACCTACCCTGCTCCCCACCTGTACCCCATAGAGGGGACGTCTCCTCAGAAAATGTCTTGAACTTGGTCAGCATCATTCTGGAGAGTGACATACAGAACCCAAACAATATCTGCCTGATTAACCTAAAGACTTTTCCTTGATCCAAACTCTTTTYTGTTCTTAATCATGCCAACTTGTTTTATTCTTATTCTGAAAAAAAAACACAGTTCATATCATTTATAAATTAAAGGTGAATGGAAAGAGTACAGAAACCATCCATAGTCCCACATTTCAAAAGTCATGACCATTTATATTTTGGTGTGTTTTCTCTGCTATGTTGATTCTTATTTTTCCTCAAAACAGAAAGCTTTCATTTTTTTCATCATATATGACAGTTGCAACAAAATTCTTTGAAGGTGGAGAAAGTGTCAGTTAACAGTTTGACACAAGGTTTCCAGGCACCCTTGCATATTCACAACCTTGATAACAAAAGTGAAAATATAGTATGTATCCCATTTTGTAACATCTTTCCCACTTGGCAATACATACTTGGCTTATTTTTCCATTAACACATCTTGTTTCATTATTGCCTATCTAAAATTCCACTCTTCAGGTGGCCCATAACGTATCCACRTGACCAGTCCCAACGGAAGCTATATACTTGGTCTCTCTTCCTCCTCTCCTCCTTCGTACCTCCTTCCTCCCCCTCCTACTCCCTCCCTACCTGGCAGGGAAAGTAGGTTCCCCTACAGCCTTATTTGATGGGTGCTTTCAGTATGTCCAGAAAACWCTCTGCTCCCATGCCTGTTGGTCTTCTTTCTGAAAGATTACAGGTTGTAGACTAGACTAGGGGATCATTCCTCATTACGTGGTAAGTAGAGAAAGGCTGTAAAAAAGACCTATTGAGAGTCCACTCTGGAGGGGGGCAGTTCAGGGTGAAATGGTGGGTAAGGTCTTGGATCTCACAAAGCAGGGTGGTAACCAGGATGTGGGAGTGCTGCGCGATTCCAGGACGTCTCCTGACCCTGGCATCACAGAGCCCCGTGTCCACACAGGCACCGGGGTCTGTCACTGACCTCCTGAGGAGCGGGCTACTGCCACGGCTCAGGCCAGTGTTTTAGTCTCTCTCTGGAATTCTCTCCCGAGTCTTTGAGCCAATCTTTGAAAATTATCACCTGCCGTGGACTCTTGAAGGAGGGATTTGAATGGTGGAATTTCTCTTGGGAAGTAACTAAAAATCTTTTCCCAGTTTATTCTCTGTTTCCTGTCTTCTTCCAGAAGGATTGGAAGAAGTCATGATCCAAAGTTATTCAGAGTAAAAGCAAAACAAAACACTACGCAGAGGGAAGGGAGGGGGACCAGGTGATCGAAGTGCTTGATCCTGACATGGGAACAAAATAAGATTGAGTGCCAGGCAGCGGGTACCCTGACATCCCTGAAGACCCTGAAAAAGGCTGAGTTCTGGAAACAAGGAGCCATGGTACCATAGCTGGAATGAGGTCATGGTCTTCCCAAGTGAAGGGCAAACACTTCTGGACAAAGAGGCTTTGTCTGGGACATTTCCTAAATCATATGTCTAGCTCCATGACTTCATGGTGGTGCCTAAGTTTTTTCAATCAAATGCAATTAACAGTCAGATCATGGTTGGCTTTCCGGAAGTGTTCCCGATGGCACACCCTGGATCAAGACCTGAGAGAAACCCAGGGCAACGGAAGGCCATCTCTGTGGTTCTCCAGTTCAGGTGTGAGGGGGCCAAGCTGGTCCCCTTGGGTGGAGACAGGGTCAGTGCTGAGGCGGCACGCCTAGGCTTCTGCGACAGAGCCAGCTCTTCCTTCACCGACTTGGTCAGGACTCTGTCCAAACGTCTCCATGAGCCCAGACAATCCTGCAGCTCCACGAGGCTCAGACCACAAAGGCCTGAGGACTTGCTCAGCCCCCAGGACTTGCCTCCAGGACTTGGTTCCAGAGGACAAAGAGCTGGGACGCCCCCGTGGGGCTGGATTAAACCCCTTTCTCTCTCTCTCTCTCTCTCTCTCTCTCTCTCTCTCTCTCTGTGTGTCCAGGAAAGACGCAGAGGCCAGGGAATCTACCTTCGTCCTCTGCCCACTGAAAGAAGCTGACTCGGGGGATTTAAAAGAGCCCAAACAGGAGAACCCAAGAAGGAAGAAGAAGAAACCTGCTAAGAGGCCGCCTCTGGAGGAGGTGGTGTCTTCAGATTCGGATGACTCTTCCCGTGGCACCAGGTCCCAGGAATCCCATCCCAAGCCGTACCCCCAGCCCAAGGGGGGGGGAGGGGGACCAGCACCCCACATCTCRGCGGCGACCCTTTGAGATCTCTTTCAAGAATAGTGCCTGCGAGGTCAACTCCAGACTCCAGACAGAGTAGATCCCACCACAGCAAAAACACGAACCCTTAAATAACGCTAACCTCCACTTCCCCAGAGAAGGCCCGAGGCCCGAGGCCTAGGACTCAGCCGGCCATCGCTGCCACTTGTCCACCTCCAGCAGCCGCGCCCTGTCCTCTCCAAGGCACACAGCAGCAAAGGGCTGAGGACCACCGCTGAGAAGCCTTAAAAAATAGTCTAGTGGCAACTAGGTTTAAGAGAGCCAGGATTCCCTCCAGGCAGCCCAAGCCTCCGCCACTGGACACTATGAAGCGCCCCTCACTGAGGTAAGGCCGCCGTCTTCCCCCCGAGCCTTCCCTGTGTGTAGCAGAGGCCCAGCGCGCGCCCCTCTCCTTCCCCGACTCCCCCACCTGTTGGAGCGTCTGGGTTCCCACCTTTCCTCCCCATTGTTCATCCCAGGGKGTTCCCCGTCTTCACAAAACTCTTCTGGATTTTCTGGTACATGGTCACACCCAGAAGTTCTGACCTGACAGATTATTGTCATAGGATTTTCCAACTGTTCAGCAGTCAGAGCACTTAACCATCCAAGCCCGCCGCCTCGTTTTAAAGTATCCTTCCCATCTGAATTAGGGACTTTGTCACTCGAGGTTGAGGACTGAAATTAAGACCTGGTCMCTTGTCTGAGATCATCAAGACTGACCATTCTCCGAGTTATTGTTTTTCTGAACATTTCTATTGAGCCCTTCCTCATTATCTTTGTCTGCAGTCTGTTGTAGGTACCTCTAATTGAGTGCAGAACGAGAATAAAAACTCTTACGTTGGAGACATTTGAAAACTGTCGGGCTGTTCATTGATCACTGTATTCTTTGAACACATCTGAGCAATGCCGTATAAAAGTCCTGGGTTCTCTCCTAATTTCAAACCTGAGCTGGCTCTCTCCAATTCCCTTTTTTTCTAGTTAGTAACAACCCTAGGGATGGATAAAAATAGARTACAGATTGTTCATAAGAAACAGATGAAGGTTTTGTTGTTGTTGTTGTTGTTTAAAAGTGGTGTTCACATTCCTGAAAGTTCAGGGTCACCAGGGTTATGATAAAAAAATAAATATCGGAGAAATCTACTTCCAAAAACAGAATAAGGGACATTAGCTCAACATCAGCCTAGGAATAGGACGCAGTAAGGAAGGAACGGAGGATGGAGGAAATGACGGACACAAGGCGTGCTGCCTGCCCCCAACTCAGATCTGTCTCTCCAGCAGGAAGGCTCTAGAGCAATCCTCTGCTAGTGAGAGCTGTGTCTGAAGGACGCAGGGTGGTGTTGTACATAGTAGAGAATTGGAGGAGGGGTAGGAAGGAACCCACCCATCAGGTTAAGCCTGCGGGCATCATTCCGTTATTCAGCAGGCAGTAGAGTACTGACAATGGGTCAGGCTCCAGAGATGCCATCAGACACCTGGAAGATGCTACCCCCTCTACATCCCTTCTCTCTCCCTCCATCTGCACGTTCTTACTGCACCCATGGCTGTTGTCTGGTCAGGGGTGGTGTGCAGGAAGAAAAGACTGCAGGGCAGAAGGACATCCTAACAGGGTCTCCATGTTACCCTGCCATGTGTGACATGTTTTAGAAGACATGTTTAATGATGCCTAGTTCAAAGAGATGGGGGGATTCGCAATTACAACCCAGTGCTTCCACTTCCAGCCAACAGGGAATAACAGAAACTCGATTTCCACTGCGGGTCCAAATTGAAATGCCTGATAAAATGCATGGAATCCAAGAGTTTCCCCAAACCCTGGCCACCATGCAAACAAGGACAGTCATCTTTGAGAGACAAAGGAGGTGAGCTGTTGGAGCAGCCCCGCTTGTTCCCTAGAGACACACGGGTCCAGCTGCAGCAGAGGGAGGGAGGGGGGAGCCCGGGCAGGGCCCTCGGCTCCTGAGCAGAGGAAACGGGACTAGGTTCTGAGGAGACCAAGGCAGCCGGAGTTCACAGGGTCGAGGGCTGGAGGGAGAGCTTCAGAGAAGGCTCTGGAGTTTGCAGAGGGGCCCCCTGAGACACCCCTTGAGCCCAGTACTGATCAGCAGGACTGCAGGGCAGTTACTCAAGGCTGAAGGGAGGACCTCCCGAAAAGACTGGAAGGAACAGTCGCTGCAGAGCACACAGGGCTGGGACTCGTTCCTGTTTCCTCTATTCAGAGAGGAAAACCTCCTTCCTCAGGCCTTCCAGTAATGGGTTAGAAAGGATTTGCCTCCATCACGGAGCAAAACTGGCCTTAGACTTCAATGCTCCTCTGGTCCCCTGAACAGGGTTTAAAAGAAAGACCTGGAAGGATCACCATTTCTAATTAACTGTATCCCTGAAAAAAGATCAGGAATACTTAACAGAGATACAAAAATATACACCCTCCACCCAGGGTAAAATTCACAATGTCTGGATCCAAAGATTAGCTTAAAGATAGGCATGCAGAGAAGCAGGAAATGCAGCCCGGACAAGGACGAACACAGTTGGAATATCTCAGAAATGGCTTAGATGATGGAGCGTTCCAGAAATGTGATTGGTGGTATTTATAAAAGGCATTATTGAAGTYCCTTTTAAAGGTAATTGACTGTATAGAGTAATGGTACTCTGGTGCATTAACACATTTCCATCCATCCTGAACACCCACCTCGATGTGTTCCTCAGGGGATCGGTGCATTTGATTTTTCACCAATAAATCTGCACTTTTGGCACACACAAGAAGGAAATAAAATCCACTCTTAAAACAAAAACAATAATGCTAGCTGTACATTCTGATTTCACGGTCTCCCTATATAATTGTCATGAATCACAAGCCAGGGGCGGAAGCATGGGGGTAGAGAGTGGTTGAAACCACACAGACACTGTCTCTGGAATGGGCACAGAGTGAGTCCTTGAAAAAGAGAGAGAGGCTCTCCAGAGGAAAGGATCAGATGTCCAAGAACAGAACAGATTTGASGCTAAGGAACGTATAAGACACGTGACAGCTGGAAGAAGGGCACACCTTTAAGACCTACTACCTCTCCCACTTGGGTGGTCCAGGCAGGAGGATCACAAGTTCAAGGACTGCGTGAGCAACTTAATGAGACCTGGTCTCAAAATAAAAGGGATTGGGGATGTAGCCCAGTGGTAGAGCACTTGCCCAACTTGTGTAAGACTGAGGGTTCAATCCAGAAAAAAAGATCAGGAACCAAGTCACCTACATTCTTACCTCTATATTTTGTTCAACTCYGGAATTCTATGACTCACTGACCTGGTCCATTATCAACTCAAACCAGTTCACACAGATGAAAAACTGTCCTTGTGGCACTCTTGTTCATTGCTGGTGGGACTGCAAATTGGTGCAGCCAATTTGGAAAGCAGTATGGAGATTTCTTGGAAAGCTGGGAATGGAACCACCATTTGACCCAGTATTCCCCTTCTCGGTCTATTCCCTAAAGACCTAATAAGAGCATGCTACAGGGACACTGCTACATCGATGTTCATAGCAGCACAATTCACGATAGCAAGATTGTGGAATCAGCCTAGATGCCCTTCAATAGATGAATGGATAAAAAAATGTGGCATTTATACACAATGGAGTATTACTCTGCATTAAAAAATCACAAAATCATAGAATTTGGAGGGAAATGGATGGCATTAGAGCAGATTATGCTAAGTGAAGCTAGTCAATCTTTAAAAAACAAATACCAAATGACCCCTTTGATATAAGGGGAGTAAACAAGGACAGGGTAGGGACGAAGAGCTTGAGAAGAAGATTTACATTAAACAGGGATGAGAGGTGGGAGGGAAAGGGAGTGAGAAGGGAAATCGCATGGAAATGGAAGGCGATCCTCAGGGTTATACATAAGGACATATAAGAGGAAAGGAGGGGTAAGACAAGATAATACAAATCGAAGAAATGATTTACAGTAGAAGGGGTAGAGAGAGAAAAGGGGAGGGGAGGGGAGGGGAGGGGAGGGGGGATAGTAGACAATAGGACAGACAGCAGAATACATCAGACACTAGAAAGGCAATTTGTCAATCAATGGAAGGGTAACTGATGTGATTCAGCAATCTGTATAYGGGGTATAATTGGGAGTTCATAACCCACTTGAATCAAATTGTGAAATATGATGTATTAAGAACTATGTAATGTTTTGAACCACCAACAATAAAAAAAAAAAAAAGAAAAAAGAAAAACTGTCCTTGTAAAAGGAAGGGACGAYGGCGGATGTAGCCCTACAATTAAACAAGAGAAGTTACTTAGGGAATAAGAACTGGAAAATAAGTAAAGATATAGTTGCACAGGATAAAAAAGTATGCCTTAATAACCTGAGAGAATCATAACACAAATCCAGAATCCACACAAATCCTAGCACAAATCCACAAATAAAAGAATTCAGTTAGATAGCCAGATGCAGTGGCGCATGACTGTAATCTCAGCGGCTTGGGAGGCTGAGGCAGGAGGATCGTGAATTCAAAGCCAGCTTCAGCAACAGGGAGGTGGTAAGCAACCAAATGAGACCCTGTCTCTAAATAACACTCAAAACAGGGCTGAGGATGTGGCTCAGTGTTTGAATTCACCTGAGATCAACCCTGGTACTCAAAAAAAAAAAAAAAAAAGCAGAGAGATAAAAGGATGTAAATTTAATACACAGAAATCAATATACACAAATCATGGGAATTAATAGGCACAAAGCATGACCAATTAGAAGACATTATTGATAGAGAAATCTTATTGCAATAGCAACAAAGTTGCTTCTCATTACTCACAGTAGTTATGTTCTATAAAATTGTTTTGGACACTAAATATTGAATCATTGCCCACAGGGGCACCTACAAGATTCTGGCAAATCTCTGCTCATAATGTTTTCTTATCCCCTACCCCTGGTACTGGGGATTGAACCCAGGGGTGCTTTGTCACCAAGCTACCTCCCCAGCCTTTTTAATTTTTTATTTTGAGACAGGGCCTCTCTAAGTTGCCCAGGTTGGGCTCAAACTTTTAATCCTCCTGCCTCAGCCTCCTGAGTAGCTGAGATTACAGAGGTATGCCACCATATGGGTCTCTGATCACAATATTTTCATTAACCAGTTAGTGTATAASTTTGCTTTATAAGTATTTCTGATTTTAAAACCCCTTATTTATTTTGTTAATTACATACACCCAATACACTAAAAGCATGAATGAATCTTATCTAACAAATATTCTCCAAATGTATGTCAGAGACTTAAGAATACTAAACAGCATCTCAGCCCTCTTTAACTGTGAAATCAATAAGAATCACAAAGAATACAAAAAAATAGCACTAAATACACCATTAAAAAGATACATGTTTATGGTGGGGGGAGTTAAATGAAGGTGTTGAGTCAACTCAAATTTTTCAGAAGTGAAAAATTTGCAAAAGTGCCTTGAGCATTGATAAAATATATTTTATCCAGTAGATAAATCCACAAATATGGAATCTCTGAATGGTGAGCAAAGTCTGTATCTGGAAAAAAAACAAGAAATGCACAAAAGAATTATGCGAAAGACTTTAAAACGCTCCTGAACACAAAAATAGGTTTGAACATCACTTGTTTTTAGAGGGGATGGCTAGACTTCATGGAGATGATGGTAGTTCCGATTTCACTTATAAATGTAACATCTTCCAAATGAAATGGTGAATGTTTTATGAAACTTGAAAAGTTGACAGCTGAGATGAAAAAACAACCACATAAAAATAGCTGAGAAAAATACTAT